GCAAGAAAGGAAGGGCAGAAGATCTGGATCAGCAAAGATGAAGGAAAATCAGTAAAGACGAAATGAAGAAGGAAATGGCGTATATAAGGGAGGAAGACCGCCAAAAATTTGAATCTGAACGGACGTGATGTTTGGCTGTTTGAGGCCAATCAGCGCACGACACGTGTCCTTATTGACGGCGGCGTCAGTATTGAAGAGACAAGATGGTGAATCGAGACGTCGACCGGGCAAGTTTTGAAGACAGACATGTCAACTAGCCCAGTCACCGTATTGCAAACCGAGGACCGAGGAAGTGTTACCCCGGTCAGAATAGGTAATCCTAGTCACGCTTGTGCGGACGGAATTAAGGGGTAATTGAGAGGGAGATTTATGATCTGGATTGGGCCGTGGTAATGGCCGGACAGATTTGAGCCGAACAAGATTGGGCCGAGGTAGCGCGGCCCGTGCCCTGAAAAGATTTGCTCGGTTAAGGCAAGGCGTGGTTGGACCGAGCTACTTGGCTTCATGGTATAGAGGCCGGGCAAGTGAGAAGTCCGGCGCCAGGAACAGTGTTGTTGTTCCACGGTTCATAAGTTAGCCTGGCAGGAAGGCTGGCAGGAAGGCCGGCAGCAAACCAGCATGAACTGTCCTGAACTCGACTATGCCGGGATACAGCCGAGCTTGGTCCTCATTGAGCACGGCGAGCGGAGCGCTCTGGCCAGCTGCACAGCACGGCCGTTGATAGCCGAGAAGATTCAGCCCGGTTGCCGAGCTCCCAGTAGAGTGGGCTGGCAATTTGGTTAAGTGGTGTTCAGCAAGATTTGTGTTGACAGATGGGATAGCAGCACCACGTGTCGAGAGACGAATGAGAGTAGATTTGGGGCGCAGAAGATATATAAGCGAATCTGCGCCTCCCATGCTGGGACAGATAACATTTTGGTGAGATAAACACTAAACACAACTCAGTTCTCTCTCTCTTTATCCCTGTGTGTGTGTCTAACTTGATCGTTGGAGGGGTTTTCCGGCCACACACCGCCGGGTAGCTCACCGCCGTTGTGCTCGCAGGTCGATCGGACAGACAGGAGCTTGGAAGAAAAGAGTGCGGACTTGCCTGAATATTTGCTCACCGCACAAAAATCTTTTAAAAATTTACTAAATATCAAAAATATATAAAAAAAAAAAACGATAATTCAGTATATTTTTCATATTTTTATGTATTTATTAATTTTTTAAAATATTTTTTCACAATTTTTTTATTTTTTAGATACATCTAAGTAAGGTGCATATAAAAAAGTTAAAAAAAAATACTTAAAATTTTAAAAATATTCACTAAAAAAAAACACGAAAAAAAAACTACAAAAAACTCAAACCAAACACGCATAATATTTCTTTAAAAAAATACTAATTTCCATTTTAAAATAATTTTAATTTAATACATATTTTGAAGAGTTGCTATCATAAAATATTAACAATTTAAAGTTAATTTAAAACACTATGAATTTAGTACACATGGTAAAAATCAAGTCGTGCTAAAAAATAGCATATACACAGCTTGAGTGTGCCATTTAAATATGACATATTGACATTATAGCATGTTAAAACTAATTAACATGATTTGTTAAAAATGGTCTAATAAAACTATTAAACAAATTAGTTTAACCTGTAAATCAATTTTAATAATACTAACCAATTTGATCTGATGCTTTTAAAAAAATTGTTATATATATATATATATATATATATGTATATATTTCAAATAATTTACAACAGTTGATTATGATTCAATTACAAAATAAAATTTAAAAGAATTAGACTAAACTAAATCAAACCGTTTCCTATTTGTTATTATTAATATGAATAGTATACTTGTTCTTCTTATTGACTTTTTCAAGCCCTAATTCCGTTCAAACATCAATGTATATAGTTATATATATGATTTTTAAATTTTAAATTTCTAAAAGTTACATTTCTCTAATAATTACTTTAAATTATGAAAATTTTAAATATACTACTTGATTTTTTATTTTTTTGAGAATGGCCAAAAAAAAAAAAAAAACTGGCAGGGAACCTACCAACAAAAAAAGAAGAAGGGTATTTGTACTTTATACTTCAAATATCACTAAATACCATTTTATTCCCTTTATTTTAAAATGATACATCAAAATTATTATTTTTTTAATAATTAAAAGATTTAAATGTATGATTTTAAAATTAAGAAAAATAATACTAATATTTATTAATAGTTGATGTGTAAATTGTAAATTGACCTTTAGAAAAAATGGTTGAAAAGTTGACAACAGCTTTTAAGCAAAATTTCTATGTCAATGTTTCGTTGACTGTAAGTGCCTTCATGCTTCATCTGAAGGAAATTTCCACAAGGAGTCATTTTCAAAATGGTAATTAGTTAAATGGGAGAGGGTGCATATCATATGCAACCTATCACAAAAAGAAAAATGTTTGAGAATTTTTTTTTTTAGGATTCTTACAATTTTCTTTGGATATCACATTCATGTACGTGTGAGGTCTACACCATCAATGATTTAGATTGTTGTAAGAGTTTTCAAAAAAAGTGGATCTCAATCATTATTATCATAAAAATGTATAAATCATAAAATTTCGTAACATTAATAAAAAAATGCATAATCTTGTCACAAATTAGAGTAATAAAAATGTTTAAAATTTTGTTATTTACGTTGCAAAAGTTTGTGACTTCATTACGACATTATTACTTTAATTTATGATAGAATTATACATTTAGTAATTGATTTTATAAAATTTTATTGTAAAATTAGGTAGAATTTCCCTAGTTGGGAAATGGAAGTCCTTGAATTGTATGAAGTATTTGTGTCAAAACACTCAACGTGTGAGTGGGCACTCACTTAATAAATATATTTAGTAATTTAAATTTATTATTAAAAAAAAGATATATTAAGAATAAAGAAGATTGTCACAAAATATAATATAAATATGCGAGACACACACACATATATATATATATATATATTTTGTATAAATCTTCTGTGTGTTTAAGTTTTCTCATAAATTATAAAATATTTATAGACAGAGGATTTCAAAATATGCCTGAAATATTATGTGACACCTTGTGAATACCATTTACCTTAGAAAATAATAGATGCATTTAAGAAATATGAAAATCTTTTTGTATTCCTAAATACTTAAACATCGAAATTAATTAGATAAATCGAATGCCCAAAACTCATATTCACACTTAACACCTATATCAGTCCAGAAAGTCATAAAAATATGACAGAATTTCAGTTCAGTTCATATTTTGAAAAATTATTATACAAAAATGGTAAGTTTTATAACTATTAATAATTAAAATCATAATTTTTTTCATAAATCTGTACTATTAAGTTCTTAAAATTACAACTGCATGGTAGTTTTCCCTAAAAATATCGGGCCAGTAATAGGATTATTTTTGGTTCCCTTTACATGAATTCGCCTGATTTTCACGTGCAGGCAAAGGAAAGATCTCTTTCATTTTTTCCCCTTTGAAATTAACATCGCTTCATTTGTACACATATAATGCATTGCACAAAATAATCATATTTTTTTATTTTTGCAAAAACTTGACTCCAAAGTTAATTCAATAATTGTTCCCAAATAAAAAAAAAAAAAGGTGAATTCAATAACAATTTTGGGACAAAATAGCTCGATGCCAATGGCAATAAACGAAGGGATAATTGGTGATAAATGCATTTCTATGGAGATATAATATTTGGTCAAAGAATTGATCTTTTATGAATATAAGAATATAACTAATAAAATTATTTGATGAGAATGACAAATTATCATTTTTATTTTTTAATTTTTTTTATATTTTTACTCACTGCCACTAAATCACCGCTGAAAAAGTGACGGAAAAAGTTGCTAGTGGTGACAATGGGTGTGGTGATATGGATAAACAAATAATTTTGGTGAATAAATAAGTGACACGTGAACAAATAGATAATACTTAGAGCATTTCCAATGTATCATATTTTTCATCAAATCTGAGTAAAAAAAAAAAAAAAAACGATTTCTTGTATTTGATATCACATACTCCAATAGAGAAACTTAGCTTTTTCATCAAACTACTGGTTGACAGGGTAGATGATCGGCCGGTCGACCGGGCGAACAACCGGCCAATGCAAACAATGAAAAACTGAGAAAACAAAGAGGTGGTCAATCCGGGGGTCGACCGCCTAGTGTAAAATTTTCACAAAATTTTGCTTTAGGTGATCATCCAGGGGAACATCCAGCCGGTTGTCCGGTAGAACCCACCTCCAACGTAAACGCGTAGTGTTTTGGTGAAATCTACTCCGCTTCTTATTTTGGTAAAACTTTTAGTGAATTTTCAATTTGATATCCATTTAGTGAAACCGTTGAAGCCATAAAAGTGATATTTTTTTCACCAAATTCAAATATGATGGTGAATTTGATTCACCGTTGGAGATGATTTTAAACATCTGTGTGATGTGAACTGATAGTCAAATAGATAAAAAATAATACGATCGTTTTAAATTATTTTATCTTGTTCAACTCAAAAGAATAAATCATAGAACAATTACTCTAATTTTTTTTTGAACTTAGACTTACAATGGAGTGCCAATAAACAAAATCAAACATATCAATAACTTTCTATCCAAAATTCTTCAATATCTTGTTTCAAAAACACTTAAAATTATTAAAATTATATCTCAAAATTCAAAAATTATATCATACACACCTCATATCATATGCATCTTTAATTATGTTATTATTTTTTAAAATTATAACTAATTTTTTTTCTTTAATTATTATATTATTTTGAGATATTTAATTATGTATCATACAGTATTAGTTATAAATTATTTTTTTTTTCTTTCTTTCTTTTTTTTAATTACATTCAAAAAGATATAAAGTTATAACATTTTTCTCTTTAATCTCTGCCCTCAAAATTCTCATATTTTGAAACTCTTCCTCGATCTAATCTTTGAGACATATGAATTTGGAGATAACCAAACGAAGAACAACAATTATCCAAAACTAATTCCACCCTTTTTTATTAACATCAATAAACAACAACACCACATAAATCAAAATCCCCAATACAATACTTCTCATATTCTACTTAAGAAGAAGAAGAAGAAGAAGAAACACCAAATCGATTAGTCCTAAGCTTGATTCCATCTCCATCACCACAATTCAATCCACAGCCACATTGAGGACACTCTTCAAAATTATCAATCGAAAACCCAGCCGACGCAATCCCAACTGAAAATTCGAGATCGTCGCCGCTCCGATCAACCTCAACAATATCGACCCAAAAGAAGAACAATTTGACTTTCACACCTTCCAATTTCGATAGCTTTCCCTCAGATATGTAGCCATTGATAGTGGATTTGTAATTCAATTGGTACGAACCTTCTAGGGCAAAAGAACAACTACCATTCAAGTACGCAGAGAACTTGCCTGTGGATTTGTCTAGATCGTAGCCTGTGACGCCTTTGGGTAGTACTCCGATTGGGAAATAGTAGCGTTCGAGGACTTCGTAGGCGGTCGGATTGTCGCCGGAGGAGTCCGCCGCCGGCGAGGAGGAGATGAGAATGAGAATGAGGAATGTGATTGTTGTTAGAGATTGGGGAAAATTCATCTTTGTCTCTCTCATCTTCTCTTTCTGTGCAATGTGTATGTGTCTATGTCTTTGTATAGTTCTCTCTCTCTATCTTCTATTCCTACCAGACTCTGTTTCTCTTTCTCTCCATGTGGATGAATTAATCAAGGAATGGTTGTTGAAGCTAGGTTTGGGGGTTTTCCCAAAATAAGTCAAATTAGTAACTTAATTTTTAAATTAGGCTTAGTTTGGACGGAATTTTTCAATTAGGCTAAAACGTGGTTCATAATTATGCTTTCAACATTTTTGTGGCTATCGTGCGGAAATTTCTTGAAATCGTAAAAGCGTGTTTCCAAAGCACACTTTTAATTAATTAATTAATTTTTTTTTCTCCTGAAAACGTAGTTGTGAATCACGATTTTAACTGATTTATTTTATTTTATTTTATTATTTTTTTTCCCTGAAAACGTGGTTGTGAACCACGCTTTTAACTAAAAAAAATTTTCTTCTGAAAACGTGGTTGTGAACCACGCTTTTAAGTAATTTTTTTTCCGTTTTTAAGTGAAAGCGTGGTTTGTAACCACGTTTTTAAAACTTACATAAAAACTCCCCCAGCCCTCATTTGCAACCACACTTTTCACACTTAGGTTTTTTCGACAACTCACTGCTCTCTCTCACTCCCTGCTCTCGCTCTCTCTGCTCTCGTTCCCTCTGCTCTCAGATCTCGTTTCTTCTGCTCTCAGACTCTTTCTCTGCTCTCAGTCTATCTCTCTGCTCTCTTTCCGTCCGTGGGTTGCTCTTTCTCGCTGGTATGACGTCTATCTCTCTCTGTCTCATTTGAATTTTATGTGTTTATTGTGTTTGTGAAAATGTGAATGTGGGTACAATGGGGGTATAATGTGGGTAGAATAGGGTTCATGAATGTGAAAATGTTGTGAATTGGTGGAAATGTTGGTAGAATAGGATTTGTGACTGTTAAAATGTTGTGAATTGAAATTGATATCAATGTGGGTAGAATAGGTTTTGTGAATTGAAATTGTGGTTTTGAATTTGTAAAATGTTGCGGTTTTGGATTGTGAAATTTTCTAGGGTTTTCAATTGAATGTGAAATCATGAATTAGGGTTAGGGTTTTGAATTGTGAAATCAGGAATGATGGTTATGGTTTCAGAAATTAGGGTTTCAGAAATTTATGATAAGTTAAATTTTTTTTGATAATGTTATATGATTTTTTTTAGGAACAAATTATGTAAAAACATAGTTCCAAATCGAGCCGAATTGTGTTTAAATGATTTGGGTCAAATTGGTTCAATAATTTTAATAATTTAATTTGATTACAATTTTTTTTAAACCATAGACAATTAAACTTAAAAAATGAAAGGCAGTTTTGGGCAATTGGACATGATTTTGGCGTTTTGTGTTAGATTCATTATTTTGGCATTTTGTGTTAAATTCAAGCAGCTTTCATTCTTTTATAAATGTTATAGAAATGATAAAATTGAAATAAATTAAAAAAATTTAAGAAACAAAATAGAACAGATTTTAATGACACGTAATTAAGGGGTAAAGTATATGATCTTGTATTACATTGGTATCCTCTCTAACTTTTTCATAGTAAATGATGCAAGCTCAAACCATCATTTAGGAGGAATTATCATATCTTTCAAAAATTTTAATTAAATTGTGTGTTTTTTTAATTTTATTAATTGTTTTATATAATACATAGGAGAAAAAAAATAAGAAATAATAAATATGTAACCAATAGAATTGCAAGAATATATTATATAAGATATAGAACGGACCTATGTGATAATTTTTTCTCATTTAAGTTGAACCCCTTTCCATTTTTCTTAAATTTAGGCTATAGTAATTTCTTCCCATTGCACCAAAAAAAAAAATAATAATAATAAATAAAATAAAATAATTGTGAATTACAAATATATTTTATAGGGTTTTGAATTGTGAAATCAGAAATTAGGTTTATGGTTTCAGAAATTAGGGTTTTGAATTGTGAATCCTGTCTATATTTTTTGAAATTAGGGTTTTGAATTTTGAATTGTGAATCCTGTTGTAGACGCGCCCGAACATCCTGAGAAAATTTCGTTTTGTTCATTGGGCTCACTACAGTTCGGACTCAAATGTTACGGTTCTTAATCTGATCTCACAATGTGCAATGTGAGATTGATAAATCACCAAAGAGTCCAAATCCGGCAAATCGTTTTGAAAAACTGATTTTTAGAAAGAAGTGCCAAACATGGACTGCTTTGCCAGATACAGAGTCGCCACCTAAATATTTTATTTTTGGAAAATTTAGGAAACTCTAACTCGTGCCTAAGGCCATGTGTCCGTCATCACCAAAGTTGCCTCGGATCGGGAACTTGGGTACGAGAGGGGAAGGTCATGCAATGAGCACCCCCGCTCGCCCGATTAAAGATCGGCTTTTACTAATATGATATCTTGTTTTTTTTTTAAAACACATGTGCTCTTATTTCGGTTATTAACCTAGAATTACTATGTGACGTGCACAACATACAAGTATAGACTAGATCGCCTAAGTTGGAACAAAACATCTCATGTTTGTTTTTTAAAGCGGTTTGCTACTCGCAAGTAAGCTAAAATGCGGATTTTGCCACCCTCAAGTGGGCTTAGAAAACATGGTGATTTGCCACTCTCAAATGGGCTTAAAACTCGCAATCAATAAATTGTTCCAATTCAAGTAATCCAACCTTCACCCACAGGCATTCAGGCAGTTATATCATATAAGCAGTTAGCCTCATGGCAAGCATGCTATCATGGCAGTCACCCACACACATGCAAGGATGCTAAAGCATAAACACTTACCGAGTACTCCGAGCCAAAACAAAAGCTATGTTAGAAATCAATGCATAATCCTAGCTACGTCAAGAATGCCTAATGCAACACATACAAAATGCAACTAATAGGCTCGGCTATTCTAAAAATGTCATGTGAAATGCAATTTGATACATGTATTCAAACAGGAATTGAAATACAATGCAGTTAGCATGATGCGCCGAGCCCGGTGCATGCACGACAGATGAATGGATGCAAACATGTGAGCATAAGGATGCTAATTGAAACATGCCCTAAGACTAACCATCGTAAGCTGGTAAATAAAAAGGAGAAAAAAATGGGGGTTGGAAGACATGCATCACACACACGCACACTTATTTACAACAGTTGTGCCCTCTCGACGGAGGGTCCGAATAAATAATACAAATCACTTAATTAACAAATTAACAAGCTAATTAATTATTGCGAAACGAATTGAAGCAAACAACTATTCTAAGTTAACAAAAGCAGTGAAATGGCCTCATGACGAGGGATGCATGCATGCTTGAATCGCCTCGCTCAGAAATCCATCGTGATGCCCCGACTTGCCTCTGTTTGCACTTGTTTCCAGAACACTGCAAAAAGCTCCAGGAGGCTGAAACTCCATCATGGGAATCTGTAGGAGGGAGGCCGACCAGTTGTTGGCATTGGAGACCACCTGCCGACCACTTTTTGTGCTAAAAACCAGAAAAAGTGGTCGGCCAGCCACTTTATCTGGTCGGCCGACCAGTTTTTGCTGCTGGTTTCTGGTTTGCTACAACAAAGAGCAAGAAAGGGGCATGACAAAGTATTTGCAACACATGTATGCACAACCACCCTCCCTATCATTACGTAAGCTCAAGGGAGTATGGTTCTTGACCCTCAGGCCACCAACCACGCATCTCGATGCATGATAACCGATGAGCGAAGTTGTACAATTAATATGAAAATGAATGCACAAGTAAACACATAAGGCCTAGAACTCTATCATGTATGATCAAGAACGTCGGCGACCAAGAATTGAGGCACGTTTCATCACTTTAAGTATGAAATGCCCCTCATTTCTCGTGTTGGCGACCGAGAATTGAGACACATTTCATCACTGGAAGTATGAAACGTCTCTCGTTCCTCGTGCTTGGATTAACACTTAATCCAAACAAAGCAACACATATTATGGCATGCTCAATGCAATGTAATGCAACCTTAAAATGCAAACGTGCAATGAAATGAAACAAGCATGCAACCATAACATGAATAGCCTCACAAGGCTAATGGTTTGCACAATGCACCATGCTAAGACCAACAACTAGCATACACAATGCTAAACATCAATTAGCATGCACAATGCAATAATGTAACCTAAGCATACACAATGCAAAGTATAAGGCATACACCATGCGATGAAACATAAACATGCAAACAACATGCAACAAAACATGCTCAATGGACTTAAACTAAAATGGACAGACCTCAGTCATGCCCAAACAGTGGCCGTTGTACCAAAACTAAGGCACCAAAAGGCAAGAAATGCACATTCAACTCATGGCTCGCAAGCAAAGCATAAAGGCACAACTCTTAAGCGCAATTAAAGAGTGACATGCATGAGAATATGGCAATGCTACATGCTCTGAAATGAAGTGTCAAATGATGCCAAATCATCCAAACAACACAAATGAGGCATGTTAGGAGGCCTAGAGCATGAGGCTAGTTAAGAGCAACACACAAGGAGCATGCAATATCAAGCTTAAACCACTAAACCAGCTCTGGACAGAGCTTAAACATGCCAAATTAAGGGTCAAGAACATGCTGAAATAGAGCTCAAGAGCTTAGGCAAACATGCATACACAATGGCTCACTTTTAAGGCATAGAGCACAACTCACCAAAAGCATTGAAATAGTGAAACATGAGAGAGTATGGCCACATTACACAAACTCAAATCATGTTAGAGATGAGGCCAAAGCATGCAAATAACTCAAGTAAGTCATGTTAGGGACCATGAAACTCAAAGCTAATGAGCAAAAATGCACCAAGGCTATACAAAGCAAGGCATGTATGACCCAAGGCACTTAAAACAGAGCTTAAGTATGGAAAAACATGGACAAAATCATGCTGGAGTGTGTTCAAAATAGGCTAAAATGATGGTCCAAAGTATAGAGCATGTTAGGCTAGCAATGTGGAATTACACTACAAGTGTATGAACCACTCAAGACACAATCAAACCAGACAAAAACAGAGTCATATCTGGTCCCAAAATTCACCAAAACAAGCTTAAACAAAGCCACAAAGAAGTGTAAAAACATGCTCATTTGATAGACCCTTTATGCATACAAACAAGACATGAGGAGGGGGGGACCACCCCCTCTCATTTCAGGCCTTAAAACCACATTTCCCCCACTGAAAATCCGCTGGATTTCAGTGGTTAAAAAGCTAAAAGAAGGTGATCTCAAAGGCTTAAAGAGATGGCTCAAAACAATACAAAGCAAGGCACAAAAGGGGGTGGACCAACCCCGACACCAAAGAGGCCTTAAACAAGTATTTCAGACACAAGAAAATAAAGATTTTTACAGTTGAACACTAAGCCAAACAAAGCATGAAAAGATGGCTCAAAGAGTAACCAAAACAAAGCTTAAAAAGGGAAAAAAGGGGTTACCCTTGAAGCATTGTAACAACAGCACTTGCTCCAGCCCAAAACTAGTTTTTTGAAGTCTCCACAAGACCCTCCAGCAACTTAGCAACAAGGCAAGAGTGTTTGGATAGGAAGTTGTGTACACAAGTGTGAACAAAATGCACTTTAAGGCTTCAATATAGAGAGGGAGAGGGCGATATAGAGAGAGAGAGTATGTATAGTCCTCAGCCAATTTTTTTTAGAACCTCTGGATTAGAGAGGGAGCCCCTCTCTTATAGAAAAACCAAAGTTAAAGCTTCTTAGAGAAGCTAAAACTTGGATGCAATCCCTCCATATGGAGGATACAGTCTGTGCCCTCCAGCTGGCACAGCTGGCATCCACACAGTCTGCCAAAACAGGAGGAGAGGTGCCGACCACTTAAAGTGGTTGGCCTGCTACTTGCAATGGTCGGCCGACCACTTCAAGTGGTCTCCAAGAAAAAAAGTGGTCGGCTAGGGGAATTGGTGGTCTCCACACTAAAAGCAAGCTAATGGTGGAGGGGAGACTAGGAAAGATGGCCTAAAGACCAAGAAAAACCAGTTTCCCGACTAGAAAATCGGCTGGCGGGAAGGAAAGTGGTCTCCAAGGGAAAAAATGGTCTCCCACCCTTGTACCACCTTCCAAACAAGGAATACAATATTTGTACCAAAAACAATCCAAAACGGATGCAAGACAAAAGTTCGGGAGGCAAAGCGCGCAGCTGGGAGCCTTGAAAACAAGCTGTCGAGCACCAAAATGTGGTACACGACCACAACAGTGGTCCCTTGGACCCCAGTGTCCCTCTAGGGAGATGAAGCAAGGTGTGGTTCAAAAACCAAGCCAAACGGAGAATGTTAAGCGGTCCCGAGACAAGGCGCACGGTTGAAGGCTCCAAAAACCGAAAACTAGTCTCCATACGGGAAAAGTGGCCTATGACCACGAAAAGGAGTCTACGACCACAGAGAGATGGTCTACAAGACCTCTCCCTCCCTCCGAGAAGGGAAACAAGGCTTTGGTCCGCAAATCGAGCCGAAGCACAAAGAGTTCGGAGACCCGAAGGCAAGGCTCTCAGCCAAAACTCCGAAGCTCGAAACAAGCACAACATGCACTATCATCGAGTGCTTAATCGATGACGTCTGAGTCTTAAGGTTGGTCAAAAATGGGGTGTCTACAGTTGCCCCTCTTTGACAGAACTCGAGAGTCATAAGTGATAGGAGTGAATGTCAAAGCCCAGAGATGACTCATTTTTGACAAGGCCGAAGACTTAGACAAACAGGCGAGATAACACAGAGACGTGCCCGCAGGCAGGGACAAAATGAAAAAGACATGCACGAGGCCGAAAAAAACTTATGATCATGTAAAGAAAGTTGTAACGAAGCAATTATACACAATAAATGCGATAGTTTTAAGCGAACAAAAACAAATCAAACTACATTTCATGCAGAAAGAATGTGAGAGAATCATACGATTCTCGCTACGTCTCACGCGGAGAATACAATACCATCCGACTCGTTTGGTCGCGCTAGCTTCAAATGAACCGTACATACAATATCGTGCCTACAAAAGGATGAAACTCAACAGGTACAATAACGTTAGATACATGCATGGCAAGGCAAGTGAAAAGCGAGTGACAACGCAAGGTAGACGCGCATAACAATACGAGTAACATGCGTGACAACGCAAGTAGAGATCATGCAGGTAAATAAAGTGCATAACAATGCAGGAAACGTGCGCAACAACGCAAACAAGGTGTGCATAACAATGCAAGCAAAGTGCAACTTCATTAGCATGTTTGGAACAAAATGACGAGTAAAGAAGTTCATGCTTTAAAGAGAGCAATTCAACCGGAACCTCCAAGTTACCTCTCGGAGGGGTCACTACGTACTAAAAAAGGATACATCTTGCTCTTGACGAGCAACGATGAGCTACGCATTGAAGACTCGAATTTGAAGTTCCCGCGGAGACAATTTCGCACCGAAAAGTGTACTTTTCTTGTACTTTCTCGAGAGCCAAGGACTCCAATCACCACCAAAATACACAGGGAGAACAATGGAGCTCTAAAGATCAACCAGGAGGGTGGCCGACCACCTAGAACATCCACCGACTAGTTTTTGACCACAAAGTGGTCGGCCAGCCAGAAAAACTGGTCGGGCAACCAGTTTACATAATTCGGGGCAGTTTTGTCTTTTAAGGTTTGGCCCTTTAAGTTCACACATCCAAACCACTCTTGCTCACAACTCTAAGGCCGAAATACATCCCTCTTCCTTCCTAGACCATTTTCTCCCTCAAATCTGCACTTTATACGCGTTTTCCAACGCCCCACGCAAAGTTGTTTCGCGAAAACTTTCGATTTCCTTCGTTTTGAACCGATTAAAATTCGATTTCAAAGCTTCTTTTTCCATTTTCACCGCTTGAGGTATGTTTGTCTTGAAGTTTGGCACCTTTTCTCGGGCGTTGACTTTTGTTGACTTTTTCTCCTCCCGAGAGTTGACTTTTGTCGACTTTTTGCAATTTTGGCTCATTTTGCTCATTTTTGCAGATTTCTTCGGATGGCGGATCACTTTCATTATGACGGAGGTTCTCCACACGCCGAGGACGAGCCAAATATTATGTCATTGCCTCCGAGGATACGATCGTTTGATCCTACAGCATACCACCCGGAGGAGCACATTTTTCCTCTTAGCACCTTCTATCACTTTACTGACTTCGCGCGACGAGCGCCTGCGGACCTACTGCTACGGGAGCCAGAGTCTCACCTATCTCACTAGGCGCGAGAGGTATGTACTTCACTTTTACATTGTCTCCAATGTATTCCGCATTTCCTGCACATTTCATGCTTTCGCTATGCTCGTTCTGAACACATTCATATGCACAGTACTTCTGCTTATTCTGGCATACGGCTTGCACATAGCACAATACTGATTTGGCACGCAGCTCATTTAGGATATGATGCTGACTTGGCACACAGTTCACCACAGTATTCTGTTAATTTGGCACACAGCTTACTCTGAACACACGATTCATTTTGACCACACAGTTCGTTTTGGGCACACAGCATATTTTTGGGCACACAGCTCGTTCTTGGGGCACACGACTCATTCTCGGACGCACAACTCATTTTCGGGCGCACAGCTCATTCTCTTCGGGCACACAGCCCGTTTTCAGGCACACAGCTCGTTCTCGGGCACACAGCTCATTTTCGGGCGCACAGCTCATTTTCGGGCACACAGCTTGCTTTTCGGGCACACAGCTCGTTCTCTTCGGGCACACAGCTCATTTTCAGGCACACAGCTCGTTTTCCAGGCATACAGCTCGCTTTCGGGTACACGGCTCGTTTTCCGGGCACACAACTCGTTCTTTTCGGGCACACAACTCATTTTCAGGCACACAGCTTGTTCTCGGGCACACAGCTCATTTTTGGGCCCACAGCTCGTTTTCAGGCACACAGCTCGTTCTCGGGCACACAGCTCGTTTTCCGGGCATACAACTCATTTTCATTTCTGAACACACAGCTCACTCACTTCATTTGCATGCAACTCATATATTTTTATTCTGAAACTGAATACATCTGTTCATTCTGAATGCAGGTATCTTCCCGTTCCACAAGGGGTTATGGATTGATTATTGCTAGGGAGTGGTATTTGGAGCTCCCAGATGCTGTTCGCCATATCGTGGACGAGGCAGGATTTGGACTTTTCTGTGCGGGCTTATTGCGTCATCCGGCGAGTAGGACTCTCATGGGGGCACTTGTGGAGAGATGGTGGGACACCACCAACTCGTTCCATTTTTCATCTACTGGGGACATGACGATGACCCCATATGATTTCTCCATGCTGACGGCTCTTGACGTGGCAGGCCGACCGATCCCCTATGATGCAGACATGGACGAGTGAGAGACTGCTAGGATTTATCTATTGGGAGCCCACCCGCCGATCGACAGATCATCAGGTAGGGTCAGGTACACCTGGTTTTCTGAGCAGTTTAGGAGGACTTTGCCCGAGACCATCGAGGCCATACAATAGTATGCTCGGGGATTTTTGATGTTCCTCCTCGGGACTACTCTGTTTTCCGACAAGGGGAACACAGTCGGATTTTATCTACTCAGTGCTTTGGTAGACCTATCACAGGTCAGTCAGTATGATTGGGGTGGCGCTGGCCTCGCTACCCTTTATTGCTACATTAGCGCGACCTCCCGCGGGCAGGGGAACATAGTAGGTGGCTACTGGCGAGCCTGGGAGGTATGTTCTGCCCTCTTTGATTTACATTTATGCTTTTCAATACCTGTACACTGCACACGGCACACATTACATTCTGTATTCTACATTCTACACTCAGCATTCTGTACTCCCTTATACATTACTTTCTGTATACTGACAACTACTGTCTCGTCTTTCACAGCTATGGATTTACGCCTACTTCCCGACGCAGGCCCCTGAGCTCGAGGTCGAGGTACCTCTAGAGATCCCCTTCTCTCGCAGGTTTGAGGGTCGGTGCCGGCCGAGGCCTCTGGAGACTCTGCTATTCCTCCGACAATTCTTCGAGACAGAGGTAACCAAGAACTCTCAGTTCTTCATGCTTTGATCCATCTTGCATACTTATGACATCTAATCCGTTTATGCACTTACCTTCCGCAGATTACTTGGCAGCCATGGGCACCCTTGTCAGGAGATGCCCGGTTCCAGTTCCCTGGGGCGTGGGCCGTTTCTCGATACAGGGTTTTATTTGAGGGGCCAGCTAGCAGGGCCTGGTTTCTGGGGGATCGCTTCTTGCATCAGACGATGGGCAGCCATGCTCAGGATATCCCCTCAGCACCTCCAGAGGACATGCGGTCCACTGAGAGACTCACTCCCCAGGAGGTCGAGGTCCTTATGTTGGGTACTGATGCAGTTCTATTGTTGGATGAGGGGGAGTACGCGACCTACCGCCATACACTTGATGCATCCATTGATAGGTATCCGTACCCCCACGAGGAGAGCCGCTGACGTTCCATTATCGAGTCGTGCTCGAGCTACAGATATTCCTTCCACTAGCAGGGCTAGCACATCGAGAGGCAGGGCTAGAGGGATGCCCTCGATTTGCCAGTATGCTGGGTGGTCGGATCTCCCGACTGAGCTGACAGGTTGGGAGTATGGGACACCATACCAGATCCCGTTAGAGCCTCCACGGCTGGATCACCGATACATCAGTGACTCTGACTCACCACCGGTATGTTTTACAGTCTTGATTTATCACTCAGATATTCAGACACCCATTCTTTCACTGATGACTTGCACTTGTATCCACAGCCTCCCAGAGAGTATACTGAGGAGCTACTCGGAGTGGTGGCCTCGCTCGAGAGCATGGTCCCGCGGAGGGAGACGCTGCTGTTCGCCGCCGGCGTCTCAGTACTTTTCAATCTCCTTGCATTTATCATACTTCTGATGACATACTGAATTTGAACATTTCACTACATTGATTGACTGCATGTGTAGAGCACATCTGACGCACCACATTCACATACTGTATCTGCATGCACACACTTTATGCAGCATTCTCACATTTGCATCTGATATACATACTTTGGCTGATGTATTTAAAATGCCTTTTTCAGGTCCCGCCGCTACAGACCAGGTCATCCAGGCCTTCTCGAGGAGCTGGGAGAGGGGACTCGACTCGCAGCCGAGGCAGACGTAGAGCGCCTATCAGAGATGACGAGGAGTCCAGCGAGGATGAGGAGTCTGCGCATCCTCAGTCAGAGACATTCTTAGGCAGAGAGGATGACTCCGGTTCCGGTTCTGAGAGCGGAGGTGATGCCGAGGAGGATTCTGAGGACGACAGCTCCGATTCGGATGATGGTGCTGGTAGGGGGTGGTGCAAAAGCTGCTCAGCCGAAGAGGATGAAGAGAGCCTCCTGATCTTGAGCCCGACAGCACTAATGCAGATGTTCCTGCTTTATTTTCCTTTTTACATGTAGTTGTAGCACATTGTACAACGTTAGGCAGTTTTATTTTCTTTAAAACTTGTACCCTGTTGTAAAATGTTGTAAAAGGAAGCTATGATGGAATGAAACAATTTTTTGTTCAAAAAGTGTTGTATTTTGTATTCTTAGCATCGCATCGCATCACTTTGCACAAAAATGAGATTGAATGGAAATTGAACATTGTGTATTGCCAAGTCAGGTAGTGAGCCAACATAACAAACCAAATAACTTAACTCACTAAGAAACAACAAAACCTCAGCAAGTTTACAACTCGATAAGCAAAACTTGACAAAATGATGAACGGAGAGCAACAACTCGATAAACAAACTCAACAACTCGATAAACAAAACTTAACAACTCGATAAATAAAGAGCGACAACTCGATAAACAAATAGCAACAACTCGATAAACAAATGCATTTTGGACAAGCGGAGCGAGGGAACATATCCGAAACAGAGGTAAACTCGGACCTTTAGAACTCCCAACATATGGAAAGAATAGGAGCTCCTTCTAGAGGCTAGGAAAAGGCTAAAAACCAGTTTTTCTCCATGGCCGACCACCAAAAATGGCTGGCCGACCAGTTTTTGTTCTGCAAACCAGTTTTATGGCCGGCCGACCAGAAAATCTGGTTGGCTGACCAGAAAAAGTGGTCGGTCAACCAGTTGGCCTAGTGACCTCCAGATTTTTGACACTTGTCCTCCTAACAGTGCCTTATCCTCCATAAAGGTTCCAGCTTCTTGGTTCTCTCATTCCATCTCAGTTTTGCATCAAAATGAAGGCATTTCTTATCCAAAATCTCGCAACTTGGATTGCTACCTTAGACGGCTCGAAAAAGTTGAACTTCCGGGGCTTCAGCATAAATGCACTATTCACGCTGAGTCACATCCCGCTGCACTTTCCGTTTCTCTATGCCGCGGCAAGGTTTTGGAATCCGGTAACACATGTCTTTAGCTTTGGCGGGCAAGAAACGTGTCCTACCTTCGAAGACTTCCAAGCTTCGATGGAATCTGAGTGCAACGAAGAAATCTTGCCCCAGCTTCGCTTCGGCCACATCTAAGCCTTAGGACGAATGTGTGGGCTTACTATGCATGACGCTAGGTCATTGATTTGTGACGGAATGCTGGACATTCCGAGTTTGATTCGTCGGTTTTCCGATGCCAGTGACCGTGGCGACCATCATTGGCAGGGCTTTCGGCGACATGCGCTTTGCTTGTGCATGCTGTCCAATTTCTTGCTTGCCCCAGGCTCGGGAGGGTTTAGCACTCGTTTGATCGAAGTTACCCAAGGCTTAAAAGAGGGCAAGTGCTGCATTGCCATGACACTAGTCGAGACATTGATGGGCTTGGACACTTTCCATCGTCAGGAGACGACCAGATTCACAGGGAGTCCACTACTACTGCAGGTAATATTTCCCACCCTGTCTCATATATATATTGCTCACATCACTCGGCCCTTAGGCTCGATTTTTCTCTCAAAACCCTTTTCTCACTTTTCTCTCATCGTACATATCTCTATTCTTTAATCTCTCATTTTTCATCCCTCCCCAGGTGTGGTTGATGGATAAGTTGCAGGTTGTGGACTCATGCCCAGCGTATTCAGCTCGCGGCTATTTCTTCCGATGACGTCTGGTCGATGCCCTTGATGAGGGATGGTGGTTCGATTGGATGTGTAGTTTGTCCGCAGACCGCATTACTTGGCAGTGCCCTTGGCTCAATCTACCAGCGATGAGCTACAGCATGTCCCGACAGACCGGGATTCAGTTGATCGGCCTGACTTACTGTGTCTTCTACTTTCCTTTCCGGTTCCTGCGTTAGTTCGGACATGATCAGACTTGCCCGGCAGAGGGGGTAGAGTATCCTGTTGTATTTCTGGTCCGAGGCGCACAGCTTGCTCGGTATGCCACGGCATGGAGGACTAGAGAGCTTCTGGCCCCCGCTCTCACTTTCAGTTACACCCTCTCTGATGAGTGCATAGATTGGCTCAATGAAGAGGCACATGGGGGGCCTACTTTGGCATCAGTGACTTCGACCAGCTCTGGGAGGGGATGCAGGAACACCTGACTATGCCCCGGATTTATTTGCTTTAATCAGAACTTTCAAGTTTTCTTAATGAATGTAATGAAAAGCAACTTCAATTTGTATTCAAGAGTAGGAGAACTCTGTGTTGAAATCAATGAAATTGAAGGTTGCGGGTATTGAAAATTTTTCGTTTGGTCCAAAAATGGTCTAAGTTGTAAAAAGATTAATTTGAACAAAATCAACTTTTATTAAAACTTTTCAAAACCATTTTCAATATGGATCAGAACTGGACACGCCTGAGATCTGTCATTGAGATGCACAATCCCGGATTCCAGTAACTGGAAAATTGCCCCTAGTCTGAATAGCACTGCACTGGAGATTACAATCGAGCTCTTGAACGTAGAGTAGACAAAGATGACCAAACATGATCACATGGACAAAGTTGATCGAGGAAGTGTTTATGGTTGGACTTGAGAATGAAGTTGCCTACGTATCCCAAAGATGGGAATCAAGCCTTACGTAGTTCGGCTCAGGTTCGCTCGTGTATTAACCCTCACCTTTTACGCTCTAACTTTTGCCAAGGCTGCCCTTTGCGGGTTTTCAACCTTGCGAGCTCAGTTTTTATAACTTCAAATTTTTCTATGCTCTAACTTTTGCCTAGGTCGCCCTTTCAGGTTTTCGGCCTAGCGAGCCACTCAGGGGTAATATTTCTTCAACTTGCCCATGTTGATCGGTTGGGAGAACTCTAGGCCATCTAGGTCCATCAGAATGATAGCTCCACCCGACCAGATAGACTTGATGATGTAAAGGCCAGTCCAATTGGGTCTGAACTTGCCCCTAGGGTCGTGGATAAGAGCTCGGTTGTCTTTGAGCACCAAATCTCATTCTTTCAAATTCCTAGACTTAACCTTCTTATTGAAAGCCCTGGCAATTCGTCGTTGATAACCTTGAACATGGTACAGTGCTTTCAGCCTTCTCTCATCAAAGAGCATGAGTTCTTCGAATCTGCTCTGCTGCCAATCTGCCTCAGCTATCCGACACTCAGCCAGTACTCGTAATGACGAAACTTCAGTTTTGATAGGTAGAATGGCCTTCATCCCATAAACTAAAGAATACGGAGTCGCTCCAATAGAAGTTCGAATTGAAGTCCGGTAGCCCCATAGAGCAAATGACAGCTTATCTGGCCAGTCCCGGTAGGTTTCCACCATCTTCTGCAAAATGTGTTTGATGTTCTTGTTGGCGGCCTCGACTGCTCCATTGGTTTGTGGCCGATACGTAGATGACTTGTGAAAAGCCACATTATATTTTTCCAACAAGTCGATCACTTCCTTCTTGAAGGGGGAGCCATTATCTGAAATGATCTCGTTCGGGACCCCATAGCGACAGATGATGTTGTTCCTGATGAACTTCGCAACATGTGAAGCCTTCAATATCGCATAAGATTGGGCCTCAACCCACTTTGTAAAATAGTCTATCGCGACCAGAATGAACTCATGCCCATTGGATCCCTTTGGAGTGACAGCCCCGATCACATCAATCCCCCAGACTGAAAATGGCCATGGCGAAGTCATGTTATACAGCTTTGACGGCAGAATGTTCATGCGGTTTGCATGGATCTGGCATTTGTGGCATCGCCGGACAAAGCCAATACAATCCTCCTCAATGGTGGACCAGTAGTAACCCTGTCTGAGGATCTTTCAGGCTAGCATCACCCCGTTCATGTGCGCTCCGCACTCTCCTCCATGGATGGCCTCCATTAGGCGTTTCAACTCTTCAGCATCAACACACTGCTTATGCATTCCCAGATGACCTCTCTTGTACAGTTTTCCCCCGCAGATGATGAACTGAGCAGCCATTCTTCGAATTGCCCTTTTATCCTTGGCATTTGCCCCTGGTAGGTATGCCTCTTTCTCCAAGAAGTTTCAGACATCGTAATACCAGGGGTTCTCATCTTGAACCTCATCTATGGCAGCAATCAGCTCGTAGGCCGGCATAAATATTTGGTCAATAATGATCGGACGCATTTGGACTCCAAAAGGGATGTCTATCATAGAAGATAGAGTTGCTAGTGAATCTGCGAACCTGTTGTTTTCTCTTAACAGATGAGCGAAGTTTAGTTTCTCAAACCGAGGAATCAGCAAGTCCAAGGTCTGGTGGTAAATTCTCATCTTTTCTTATTTGACTTTCCAATCTCCTTTAGCTTGAGATACAACAAGGTTCGAGTCCTCGATGACGTCCAACCGTTTTGCCCATAGTTCTAGGGCTGCTTCTAGTTCAGTAATACACGCTTCATACTCTGCCTCATTGTTCGAGACTTTGAACCGGAGTTTGAATGCTAGAGGAATACGAGAATTATCAGGTGCTATCAGCAACACCCCTATCCCATACCCGTATTGGTTTGACGCTCTGTCAAAGTACATCGTCCAAAATTCTTCTTCAACATGCAGAATGGCCTCGTTTGGGAATAGGTACTCAACTGCTTCATCCCCTTCAACTGGGTGATCGGCTAGGAACTCCGTTACTGCTCTCTCCTTCACCGACTTGCGCATCACATACTTCAGATCGAATTCGGAAAGTAGAAGCAACCAACGAGCTAGCCTACCTGTAAGTGCCGGTTTCTCGAAAAGATATTTGATGGGATCTAATCTTGAAACCAATATTACAGGGTGAGCTAACAGGTAGTGCCGCAGCTTCCTGGTAGCACATACCAAGGCTAAGCAAACCTTTTCCAGCGGAGTGTAACGGGTCTCGTAATCCAGCATCTTCTCGCTCAGGTAGTAGATAACTCTCTCCACTTTGTCCTCAAACTCCTGTATAAGCATGCAGCCCATTGTAGTTTTAGTCACTGAAAGATACAAAATCAATGGTTTCCCTGGCTCAGGCGGTGACAACACAGGTGGGTTCTGTAAATATTGCTTAATCTGTTCAAAAGCAGCTTGGCATCGGCTGTCCCATTGGAACTTCTTTCCTTTCTTCAGGAGACCAAAAAGTGGTTCACAAGTCAAGGTTAATCTTGCGATGAACCG